AGTTAGATTTTTGTACTGATTCCCCTCATTGAGCTACCACAGTTCCCAGCTCTCTTTCAGCATCGTAACTGTCGACGAACTGAGAAGCCGAAGAAGATATTCAACACAAGCTAGAAAATATTGACTATAAATAACCTTTATCTAGATGATAATGAAGACAGAGTCTTGAATGTAAAAACATCGTGTCGTATTCGAGAAGAGTTCGAAGATGTAGATTTAGTAATAAATCGATGTTGTGTATTTGTCTCAGCAATATTTGATATATTTGCATTTTACATGATGCCAATTTCTTATTTTCAGGTCTGATGTGGTCGCAGGAAGGAGAGGACTTTGCACTCCACGCGATGCCCATCATGCACCACACTAACGTGTCGCAGGCGTGCTCGATGCTGGACGGTGTGACTGCGTACGAGGCCGCGGCGTACGAACAGGCTCTCGCGGAGTATGACGATACAGCAACCACATCTGATGACTGGGACTTCGGCGTTGATTGTGGTGACTTCATGATGTAAACAGTGGATGGAAACTTGTGCCAACAGAACGTTCTATAAATCTCTTATAATTCAAGGAGTAATCAATTGTATTCAAAGTTTAGACTACCATAACATCAAACGTTGGATTGTTTAAAAATCATAAAATGAAAGGATTTTGCGGTTAACTAAACAACTTTATGTCAGGAAAAAATCAGGACAGAATTCAAAAACTATTGCAAATTTAAAAACAGACAGAAATCTCCCATTGCGAAATACAAAACAATCAATGCATTGCTCAAAGCGTGTTTAAAGTGCAGATCACAAAATATACGAATCAAATCATGTGCCAAAACGCAAAGAAATGTGTAAAACACGAAAATTCTTATAAATTCAATACCTTGATAATTTACAAGGGATTTAAACAGACATAACATATTTACTGATCATTGACATCGACAAAAATGTCGTATTCTGATAGATAGTTGCATGCACTGTAGTCGTACTGTGTTCGTCATAGGTAATGTGTAGCCATGATTAGTGGTTCAATACGGCCTACAACAAAGTAGCCGATTCGTGAACTAACACGTTACTATTTATTACTCTGTAAACCTTTCTATAGATTCTACTATTCCCTTTTATGAATACTTGTTTTTAAACAAACACTATTTAAAACTTGTGAATTAATAATATGGTAACCACACGTGTAATGATACCCTTTTATCTTAATTTTTAATAAGGTATCTATGGTCTAAGTAATCAGCAGAAATTTTTAAGTGTTGCCATGTAAGGAACCGTAATAATATTATATTTATACTGTATCAGTGGTTTATATTTTTGGTATATCTATTAAGATTTCCACTATGTTAGTTAATTTGTTTTTTTAATTTATTATGTTTCTGGCAAATCGTAAAGACTCAGCAAATTGTTTATCGATTGAATTCTGCCTTGTCACGTGTGGGGTTACCATAACACATTTATTTAAAAACACTTTTTTTTTTAAATTTTCGAACGTTTTACGTGCCACGACACCAGGGTAAATCTTGTTGTATTCATTGAAGTTACCTGTGCACATAAATTAAACAAAAATATCGCACAAACACCGGATATAACAAGATCCAATAAAACAATACTTTTTTTTTAATTAGTAGAGTAAGTAACGCTTACCCCTATGACACCAATTATCGAAGTTATTTGAATATATTTACCCCTTAAAATATGAAGTATTTTAGATGTAAGTCGATGTTAGTATGTAGTGAACGTGGTCGGTAGAGATTAAACCTTTAAATATAGAGACCTTTTAAAAATATCATTTTCAAATTATTTAATTTGTATTTAACATATTACGTAATAAATAATTTTAGTCGATTATCTGTTTAAAAGAATTAAAAAGTTGTCTAAATTGTGAAAAAAAAAACCTTTTAAGTTACCTAACTTCAGAAGTTACGCAAATCGACTATCGATATAATTTGAGTTAGTATTTTAGGAGAGGAAACAAAAAGTGAAGGTACTTGTAAGTGAAAGGCCTAAAGGAATTGATCTTAATATTAGTAAATTATTTTGAATGAAATGTAATATCGGCTTAAATTGAATTCATTTTTAAAAGGTCTCTTGTCGTCCAATTATCGTGCGTTGATTTAGAATGGGTCGGCATAACTAGGTGTGGTTGGTACGTTAGTACATTTAATATATGAAATGTATGTAATCGCTGTAAAATCTTCCGACCTACCCAAAGACTGCCTAAAATTATATTACCTGATACCTGATTTGTGTGGTACCTAGGCAAGGTTAACGCGATTATAGTCCCTTGTCCCGCCAAATAAACTGTAATGCAACATTCCCAGAATACTGCCAGAATGTCGGATATTTTTTTTAAATGTTGCCAGAAAAAAAATCAGTTACTGTCATAGATTAAAGAGACTCGTGACATCAAAGAGTAATTCAGTAAGACACGACAAATGTTTGAAATTATTTTTCATTACTACCCAAATGAATAAATTAAAATTAATTGTTTTATATGGAGTGTTGCATTATGGCTATAGATGTTGTAGACAATTGTAATAATTATTATAGATTAGTTGACGTAAGGTAGTATTTAGTGAGCGAGTAAACGTTGCAAATTTGGGTGAGTTTTTTATGAGTTGCATTAGTGGACAAATAAAGAGGTTTAATATTGAAGTTACCTTAAAATATGTTAATGTTATGCAGTTTCTTTTAAAAATTGTTGATAAAGCAAATATGCTACTTAACGATGGGTTTTTTTGCTATGACCCAAATTGTTAGTTCTTCAAAAAGAGAATCGAAAGATTGTTAATTGTTTTTAAAATTAAAAAACAAATTTATCTATCTAGTCAAAGCACAAATAAGGTGGAATAATTTTTAGTTTTATATAAATTTGTACCATTGATAAAAAAGAAAATTTATATTAGGCAGCAATAAAGTGGTGTGACGCTGGATTCGTCAAGAAATGATAGAGTAACGTATTTTTGTATGGAAAGCTTGCAAAATTTATTTTTAAATATCCCTAATGTGTTCGTCTATGATGTTTTTGTTAAATTTTAATTGTTCGCACAGCTTAAACTTATAAATATTAGTAAAACATATAATTAATAATTATTCTTTTCGCTTTGTCTATTCGGTGACTATTGAAAAATTTTCTAGTTTTTTAAAACGTAAAAAAATAATTTTAAAAGATTATGATTTGCTAAAACACAGTTCCACTAGATACCTTTGTAAAAAGCCCAAATAATTTCTTGTTTATTTACATAACTAAAATATTACAACTTCTCAAACTTAGTGGCCTATTAAAAGCTGTGTGAGCAATTATTTAAATCACTGGTATATTTCTAACTTAATTAACTTGAAAATGCTACGCAATATAATTCACAATTAACTCAGCATAACTCAGCCTTGATTTTTGTCCGTTAATTTTAAAAGATGCAACCTTTTTATTTCTTTTATCTTTACAAATAATACCAGTGATTTAAATATAGATGTTTGTTAGATTAGTTGATAGTAAGAACACACACTGCGATTTAAAAAAAACATATTCCAACTCCATTTTATTGACTAATTTCGGTTTGGGCAAAAATCCCGATTATAATAAGCCCCGCAATAAGCTTAAATAATGTCTAACCAACGAAGAAGTAAAAAAAATATTCTTTTTCTCTGCGACAAAAGTTCTTAGAACAATCACTGCCATTCTCTCCTCTTTTCCGAGTAAAGATTTTTGTCGTAATATACATTTCTCCACTTTTCCTTTACTAATACGGTTTTAAGTAAATATTACATAGTGCTATATCATTCTAGAAAACCAACTGTATTTGTAAATGTATATGTAAGATTGTGCCAAATTAATTTAGAAAAAGATACAGTATTCATCCGTGTAAGCCAAACTTTAGTTTACCAAATCGCAGTGTGTGAATATATGGAGAGAATTTGACAAATAAGATGCGTAGCTGTGAACGTAGCAGTGACGTCATGTGTCACTGGCAACAGAGAATTATGAGTGTTTGTATGTAACTTTTGTAAAATAAACGCCTTTGGGTTATTATATTGTTTCATTTTAAATTTATGAGTTTAAAGAGTGAATTAAAACATTACAAGAGTTCAAGAAGAGGTGTATTTTCCCGTTGGGAAGATCGACCTACTGATCAATCGGTTCAATGGGATTTTTCCCGTTGGGCGGATAGAATCCAATGAGCCAAGAAAAGAGGTTGCGGCTCTCAGAAATGAGAGAACGGCGTACAGATATAGCAATATTGGCCTCGAGACATCGGGAATGTTGAATTAAATGATTTGTAGAGTTTTATTTTAAAATTTGCCATAAGCGACATCTACTGCGCAGCTTTAAAACTAAATAAGCTCGGTTTGTTACTAAGTTATTAGCACGTTGTTTGAAAAACTTGCCGCTTGGTGTCGCTTTCAAGGAATATCTTTTTGGACTTTGGCGTAAGTCCTTCAAAAAGATAAGCTTAAATGTCTTTAAAAAAAGTATGTATGAAGAAAGTTACACTGGCTTCAATCTATTTTGTTGATAGACAACTACTAAATATGTAAATGTATGTAAATGTCACACCCCTACTCAATAAGGTAGGCATTAAATTTTACCTATATTATGATAATAAACGAAATTTAACCAATATATCTGTGACGATATTCACCCGGCATAGGTTAACGTTCGATAAGGTTTGCGATAAACTTGCGTCGCATTCACTGGATTTGGCTGCAAATAAAAAATAAATGCAAAAAACACTTAACTAAAAATTGAATTATTAAAAGTAGTAAGTGAGGCGGTGTAGTTTTTGGTGCAATTCAGTGCAGTTACTCAGGGCACAGTAATGCCGGCTGCGCGCCCCGCCACGCCATCTCGCGGCCATTCGCCACGCATCGGCACAGCTGGCTGAGTCGCGCGGCGACCGTTGCCTCGTTTTATCGTTACGACGATAAATAATTACAAAAGCGTGCTTTACTTATCTGTACCTATTCCATGTTCGATTTAAAACGCGGGAAATATTTAGGCATTTTATTTGTCATTTGTTGTGTCAAATTTTGTGATTTTATAATATTTTATTGCAAATTTTAATTCGTGTGCACAATTTTCGACAAACATTGTTTATTTCAAATTCGTGATAGACATATCTTCCAGTTGTGTCCAAATTTGTGATAAGAAAATGGAGAAAGGTGGTGGATCTAGACTTCTTCAAATGCAGGTGGGTTTTTTTAATCTTATTGCCAAGTTCTTGGCATACTGTTTATCTTTTGCGATATCTGATAGCACATGATAAAGGTAAAATAAAAAAAATACTACTTATAATAACAGCAAAATAATTACGATACATTGGGATCTCTGTCGAATGTTATTAAATCCATTTACAATACTATTGAATACTTGACCTAATAGGTGTTTAACTACAGTTAAATTTTAGGTAGGATACCAACTAGCTTCATTGTTTGAATGTGGAAGAGGCGAGATGTGCGTAGGACAACGCCAAATGGAAGTTCTTAGACGTGCTTACACCTCTGGGTTACGATTACGAGCGTGAGTTTCTTTTTGTCGATGCAGTTTCGCAGTGTTATTCATTTATAATAATTTGTGGTCAAACTTAGATATTGTCAAAACAAATAACGTTGCTATGACTACCATTGTATGGATAACTTTCTATGGACAAAAAAGGAAGGTAGGTTCTACAATGAACTGCTGTTCAATATTATATAACAAAATAACTCACGCCCGTGACTCTGAGGTAGACAGATCTCGAATTTGTAGGTTTTTGACACAGTCAGTAAAAAAATGCTTGTTATCTGTTCGAAAGCATTATCAAAGCGTTTAATAAAAATATTAGTTTTTTTTCAGTTATCTAAATCAAAAAACTACAAAGCTTTAGAAATGCTCTAACTTCATTTTTCAATACAGCTTTATTGACATTTTTCCACATTTCGCTGCGCCCTCCCTCATTAAAAACATCCGTCTGTCTAGTCTGGCGGAAACACGCTCAGTTTTTTTTTATTCATTTTTCGTTAACGAACCTGCGAATATTTGCATAAAGCCTTTTCCTCGAATGCTTTTTATGTGGAGATTTTCTGCGTAAATAGGTAATGATGATCTTTTTAGCGTATTTTCTAAAAACATGCTATGAAATATAGTACTTTATCTTAGTATTTCAGGTTTTAAAATCTTAGTGCATTTTATCGGTCTTCATAAAAGGTAAATGCCCCAATGCCCGCCTCCAAACAGGTTCCCTCAGGTATTTCGTATTACTTCTTCACCTTAAACCACTACATACTTGTAGATTATTATATGACATCTAGCTGTAACTCGCAACTTCACCCGTGGAAATTAAAAAAGAGTACACACAGCCTATCTTACTCATAACATAGCTTTTTAAGGGTGCAAGAATATTTGAAATCGGTCCGTTAGTTTTTCAATTATTCCAATACATACTGAACTACAAAAATTATTTCTGGCTTTTGCCCGCGACTCCGTCCCCGAATAATTATAAAAAACAAAAGTCAGTAGCTTATGTGTTCTTCCAGACTATCCTATACATCTATACCAAATTTCATCGAAATCCATTCAGCCGTTTTGGCTACAAACTCTAACAAAAAGTGGTTATTGTAAGAGAACCGTTAAAGATAGATATATGCTATCGTGGACTTTTCTATAGAACTTTTTGAGATCTACAATTCTTTCATACATCATTTTTATATACCTCTAACGGTTTAGGCAGCGTAAGCCGAGAAAAGCTAAAGTTTAGTAATTTTTTGACGCCCGCGTCCAGAAACACGCTGTTTATTAATAGTTCCTAAACATTAGTAATAATAAAATATAGCCTATGTTAGTCACAGATAAATTACCTTTCTGATGGTGGAAGAATTTTAAAAATCGGTCCAGTGGTTTTTGAGTTATTTCAATACATACAAAAATACGAAAATACAAAGTTTTCCTCTTTATAATATTAGTGTAGATACCGTTGTAACTACGGTTGCAAATTATTTGAACTCAATTAAATAGTCAACTAAAATTATTTGAAACCGTAATTTATTAAAATAAGTGGCTACATATTGACATATATAACAACTAAAGTAAAATGTAAACAAAAATTATGTAGCGAGATAATAATACATCGAAAATAGAACTTATGAAAACGTGTTTAAAATTCATTTTGGTGTAACAAATGAGATTCCATATTTGAATAATTCGCTCATGATTCACCAACGGCCGTTTTTCGAACGCGCCAAACGTCAGTGTCGACGTTTGCGCAGATTCGTCTTAATTTTCTATCCTATTCTTACGTATGGAATAGTTTATTAGTGGGAAAGAGATAGATATTTGTGGTTTTATTCAACGGTTCTTGCTTGAACCTTGACCCTATCTTGACCGTTGTTTTGCTCGGTCAATGGAAGTAAATCGAAACGTTACTTTTGCGATCTCCTTGCCCGTAACTTCGACAGTTTTGCATTGTTTATGTTCTTATAATTTTTTATAGTGTATTATTGTTTTATTTGTAATACTATGAAAAATGTATCAAGGCTGAAAGGATTTCGATGAAATTTGGTATAGATGTAGAGGATAGTTTGGAAGAACACAAAGGCTACTCAATTTCGTTTTATTTTAATACCACGTAAGTTAGTGAGGAATAAAATTTAAAAAAGAGAAGAAGACTTAAGAATATTAAATAAGCTGTAACAATTTCTGTGACCGAGTAGAATACAGATTTTAACATTAGTAACCGTAGATTTTCTGGACAAATCCAGTACAGAAAAAAAATAGAAACTAAACAGCGGAAACCCACACAAGTTTCTTTTGCTTGATTTAAGAAAAACGAAAAAATGTTATTATGAGAAAGTTTCATCTGATAATCCAACACGTGTTATATTTCTCACGATACAAGCTTTTGTCGTTTTGTCTAAAGGATATATAACTTGCAATGTGTTGCTTAACGTGTGATTCCACAGTCTAGTACTTAAAAAATAACAAAAGGGATCTCGGCTTAAATTCCACCAGTAACAATAATAATTATTCTTTTATTCTTTTACTGTTGTACTTGTATGTCTTGTACTTGTGTGTGTGTGTGTGTGTGTAATATGAGTGATAGTTATCTGTTTCAAGGTTTGTTTTTAAAAAAAATCTTCTTTTGTGTTCTCTTCTGCTGTGTACACCTGTCATCTGTGTTTTTCTGCTTTTTTATTTTTCTTTGTCTTTAATACTTAATTTGGTTGTGAATTTTGAACATCCGATTGGTGTACCTTGTAAATCATCAACTTGCCCTTATCCCTTACGGAGGGTCGGCACGTGTGCTCTTCCGTACATCTCTATCAGTCGTCATATCTGAATCCACTCCTTTCTTAAGCATATTCCTAGTACCTTGTAAATAATTAAATATATAAAAACACATTTTAACTACTTATTACTATCCTTATTCTCTTTGAGAAAAAACAAACAATAATGTTCCTATACACTTGTTACATACATTCACAGTAAAAGACAGTGTAAAATTATTAAATTCAGGTCGAATATCGACTGACCGAGTACCGCACCTTCATGAATGACACAAATAATTACTTTATCGCACGTAATGCTACATACAAATAGAATTAAACATTTCAATAATTACGTTTGGCCAGTAATCGAAGAAAAAACTGAAAGCCAATTTCGTAACATCAAAAAGGTTCAATAAATCGAATATTATATTAAAAGAGGAAAGCAAGTCTCAACAAACTGCATCGTAATTACTTTCACTCGTCTGAAGTAAATGATAAATAACGTTGTGATTCAACAAGATTTACTGTGATGTAATATACAATGTTACTAAAACAACTTTCGTAAATAATAATTATAATAAAACTAGCTTTCGCTCGCGACTCCGTCCGCGCGGAAAATAAAAGCAAGTATCCCATGTGTTTTTCAGCCTATCCTCTACATCTATGCCAAATGTCATCGAGATCCCTTCAGCGGTTTAGGCTACAAACGTTAACAAACATCTATCTATCCATCCATCTAAACTTTCGCATTTATAATATTAGTATTATTAAGATTAGTAAGATTAATATTTAAGGAGAAAAACATATTTGTGTAAAACTTCTTTATGAGACCTTTAATGCATTATTTATATTTTTTATTCTTCATCCATTTGAGAAATTAATTACTAGAATAATTTGCTTGATGTTTACTTGCGTTGTTATCCTGTCCAAGTTAAGACGAATTATCGTTTCTACTTATAGCCAATTATTAAGTTTTTTTCAATATATCTGTACTCTAGAGTGTCAGATCAAGCAAACCGGGTGCATAATGGTAGTTAAGTAATAAATACAGGTAGCAGTGACACACATACGTACACTTTCACTGAGTTTCGCACGGCAAGGGAAGTAAGCGGAAAGGATTTATTGCAAAGACAACTGCCGAAATATGATGGGAAATGTTTTATAATAAACTTTCTCGGTAATACAAAAAGGGTTTTTCGATCGAGATCCTTACAAGAAACGGGTGGGAAGAGGAAGAGGAAAGGATGCTTTACACTATAATCCATATTATAATATACTACTACCTTTCGCCTGCGTCTCTGTCGGTGTGAAATTGGAATATACAAAAGTAAGTAGCCCACGTGATCTTCCAGACTATCCTCTACATCTATGCCAAATTTCATTAAAATCAGTTCAACAGTTTAGGTTAAAAACTCTTGACAAACATCCATCCTTCTAAAGTTCAGAATTTATTAGTAACAAGTACGATAGATTTATGTTTTAAGACATAATTTCACTAGTTAATGTCCTACAATATATTTATGTGAATCCTTGAGAGTTTGCAATACAAAAGCTGGCGATGTGCTGGCGACCTACATAGAGATAACGATTATCCCAAACCGTTATCGTGGCGGCGCGATCGATAGAGACTCGCGACAGTGGCCTGCGACCCGTCCCACCTGAAACTGACACGTTAGTATTACCACATTAAATTACTGCGGGTTTTTGTTGTTAAAACTCTCCGTAATAGAATAACAAACAACCATTCCCTGGACAAGTCACCATATAATCAAATGATTATTTAAAAATTCTTAAACAGCTTTAAGAAAATGTTACATAGAGGAATCAAAGTTCATAGTAATATTATAAATGCGAAAGTTTAGATAGATGGATGTTTGTTAGAGTTTGTAGCCTAAACGACTGAACGGGTTTCGAAGAATTTGGTATAGATGTAGAGGATAGTCCGGAA